TCTCTCTCTCTCTCTCTCTCTCTCTCTCTCTCTCTCTCTCTCTCTCTCTCTCTCTGTGTGTGTTGCGAGGTACTGCGGCTGCGCTATGCTAGCGCTGAAGCCCTACCACTATTGTCAACTACAACTACTACTACGAAGAGCACCTAGCGAATGCCTGAAGAATGCCTGCCTCAAACTGAGGCCGACCAGCTATATGTAGTGCTGATCCGGCCTCAGGCGTGGCCTTGGCGGCTAAACGCAGCGCCCAGCAGTACCATGGAGGTCTGGCGCCTAAACTGGAGCCGGACTGAGGCCTGCAGATGGCGCCCAGGGCCTGTGCCCTCTGGAAATGGCACCCAGGGCCTGACATGGAGCCCAGGGCCCGTGCCCCCTACTGCAGGCCCAACTGGACCTCTAACCGGGGGCCTGGCGCTAGTGAAATGACGCGCCAGGCCTGGTACAAATTGGCTTACTGGTCCTACTAACCCTGCTAACCCCCTAGGCCTACCGACCGGGCCCTGCGAAGGGCCCGTGTGGAGCAGAGAATGCCACAGCCCGCTAGGCCCGCTTCCCAACATGATACAATCTTCCCGGCCAGGTGGGGGGGAAGGGGCCGGTGCCCCCCGGCCCTTGCACCATGCCTGGCCCGAAGGCCAGGAAAGTTTTGTCAAGTGCTCTGCGCAGTCAATCCCCTGGGGTCCAGGGTAATCAATGCTGGTAGAGGCGGACATTCTCTGGAAGTCCTACGCATATATGATATGTATGTTCTCATATGGAACGGTGGCCCCGATTCCCAGCACATGCTGCTCCCCATGAATAGATCAGAGCCTTATTGATTAAAAAAAACAGACTCCATTGTTTTTTCACAGGCAAACTTTAGCAACCCGTCCCCTCCCCCCCACCCTCTCTCCCAAAACCTGCCCTACATCCATGACTTTTGTGGAGTTTTTCATCCACTGGGGACGAGAATCAAAACTTGCCAAAGTTGGCGCATTCGAACTTATGTACTCTCCGCCTGGGTGGGGATCCGGGCCGCCCGGCTGACTGGCAGGGGCCCGGGGGCGGTCCCGGGCAGGGCACCCGGTTGGGGGCCGCCCCCCCCCCAGCGCACTCACCTGTCTGGGGGTCTGGGACCCCCTTTTCGCTGCTGTGGGCCTCCCACAGGCCTACCGGGTCCGACCGGCCCGAAAAACCGTCCCGTCGGGCCCAGTAGGCCTGCGGGATTTTCGGAAATTTGTGATGATCGACAGCCCCCGTGGATCTAGGCGCCAAACTTCCCCCCGTTCAAACCTGGGATCAGCTGGGGTGGTCTGCCAATCGCCCCCCCGCACGATCGGAGTTGCTCCTGCGCCGTTGCCCGTCGCCCATCGCCCATCGCCCGTCACCATCGCCATCGAGAGTCCTGCTGCAGCTGCTACGACGAAGCTTCTTCTTCTTCTTCATTTCTCGTCCTCCTCTCGTCTTCTTAGTCTTCCCCACTCGTTTTCTTTCTCCTCCTCCTCTTCTTCTTCTTCTTCTTCTTCTTCTTCTTCTTCTTCTTCTTCTTCTTCTTCTTCTTCTTCGCCTTCTTCTTCTTCTTCTTCTTCTTCTTCTTCGTCTTCTTCATTTCTCGTCCTCCTCTCGTCTTCTTAGTCTTCCGCACTCGTTTTCTTTCTCCTCCTCTTCTTCTTCTTCTTCTTCTTTTTCTCCTTCTTCTTCTTCTTCTTCTTCTTCTTCTTCTTCTTCTTCTTCTTCTTCTTCTTCTTCTTCTTCATTTCTCGTCCTCCTCTCGTCTTCTTAGTCTTCCCCACTCGTTTTCTTTCTCCTCCTCTTCTTCTTCTTCTTCTTCTTCTTCTTCTTCTTCTTCTTCTTCTTCTTCTTCTAGTTCGTCGACATTCGGTAGGTCACGTGATACACGACAGGTTAAAAAAAAAAAAAAATGAAGGCCGTCCTCCTCCTCCAGACACCCTCCCAACCCCAGCGCCCCCCACCCAGACCAACCCCCCCCCAAAAAAAACCAAAATTTTATTGCGGATTCGGGGTCCTCTAACCGAGTGCAGAGCGACCCCGTTTTTTTTGAAAAAAAAATAAAAAACTATGGGCGTTTTTTTGCCCCCCCCGGTTTACCCGGGCGGGCCCCCGGGGCTGAACCGGCCGCCCGTCCGGGCAGCGTCCTCACCCAGCTCTCCACAACATTGCCCTTGTGCCTCATAGGCTGTACCTGACCACACCCGTTGCAGTGGTGGCAGAGTCACCCCTATCTTCCCCCACACACAATGCACCCTCAGCATGACTGTATAGGATGGGAAAGACACCTTGTGTACATCAATGATCAGGGTTCTCTGGGTTCCACAGAAGATGGTAGGCATGCAGCATATTGGTGGTTTGATCTACAGGCTCCCCCTCAAAAGCCTGCTTTCCTCCATTTGCACCCTCCGTTCACTGGAGAGACTACTGCCAATGGCTTCATCTCTTCCACACGCCTATCACAAAGCCAAACAGAAAACAATGATGCCTAGACACCTTGAACTCTGTCAACCCCATAATTTTCTCACTCAATGACATAAAATCTGTGAGTTTTTACTGTGCAGAGGCATCCAATGCATGCATGCGGTTGCTTGAATTTGGCAGCAGCACAACACCTGCCGCACTCAGCGCGATCTCAAGTTTTGAACGCAATTGCATTTTGCATACTTCACCATGGCCTGGACAAACCCAATGGATATACACTGACCTTCAACAAATCCGTACATAGACGTGTGACACTATCAGAGACGTACAGAGAATAATATGCAAAAGAATACACTGAAAATGTGACAGCAAAAGTGACTTCGTTTAATTGGCATGTGCAACTCAGGGACTACTTTCTCGTACCAGTCGTAGCTTCTGCTGCTTGTCGTTCGTAAGAGGCACCAGCTTGGATACCCACTGCTTGAGCATACTACCTATAGGAATGTGTTCACCAATTCCCATCGGTCTCTTGAGTGCTGAGACTCCAAACTCAATGACTGCCATCTTTGCCTGTTGAAATAAAGCAGTCAAACGTCACTATGACCATCAAATGTATTTTTTTTTTCTTCTTTTTTTCTTTTTCAAACTCAGTCCCCCCGCTAGGAGAGGTGATAAGAGCATCCCCCCCTAGCGGGCTTCCTGGTTGCTCCAGTCTATTGGTGGGGAGCTGCACCTGCTGGAAACCGGGTCCAGCGTCCCATTATACATCACAAGAGGACCCGCCGCAGCTACGCTGCGGCAGTGGAGGAGGAGCCAAGGTGGAGGCAGGGGGGATGGCGAGGGAAGAAGATGAGGAGGTGAAGATGGGAAGGAAGTGAAAGGAAGGAGGGATGGGAGGAAGGGGGGAGTGAGAAATGTTGGGTGCAAACCAAAAAAAAAAAAACAAAAAAAAAACGAAGAATGTACGTGTCTCTCTCTTTTTCTCTCCCTGTCTACCTCTCTCTTCTTTCTTTCTGTGTGTGTGT